CAATTCAGCTCTGTTAGTTTAAAATTTAAAGTGAATTGACCTCTTATAAAAATTAAAGGTAACATTACCATTTAAGTTATCACAGAAGTTGTTATTATATCTTAATTTTAAAGCGAGTTTTGAGTATTTTAAGATAAACATAAATTTACAATTTAAAAAATACACATAACTTGCTTTGAAATTAAAATATAATAAAAACTTATGTGATAACCTAGATAATAATKTTACCTTTAATTTTTATAAGAGGTMAATTTACTCTAAATTTTAAGCTAATGAAGCGAAAATGGAACTGCTGAGCRTAAAATTTGTTATGTTACTCACTTRAAAGATGAAAACAACACACACTAGAGTGGCATCCTCTTAATAAATACATACGAGTGAATATAATATGGGTGGTGCAATGGTCACGCAGATGATTGTAACTCAAACAATCATTGGTTGGATTCATAGCAAAGTGGACAAAAATTGCATAATTGTGTTATATAGTTTTCAACAAGGTCTCACTCCACTGGGAGTGAATACCGCACATATAGGGGTAGTATCATGTATATAATGATGTATACATAGATAAATGGATCACATGATCTCTCTATTAAACACTTCTGATATACATTGACAAAGACCTTAAGGGCGTATTAGAGAGTTCGTTTACAATTATAGTTTAAACTTTGGTAACCCTTAACCCACTGATTTTACTGGCAGAATTCTGTAGTTTAACTTTAATTTTACTATTGTAAAACATGCCCTTAATGAACTAATACAGAAAAAAAATATATCATACGAGTGAGGTATGAAAGGTTGACAGATTAAAATGCTGGCAATTAAAATATTGATTGATAAAAATAATTGACTGTCAAAACAACATGAATGCCATTACAACGATATAAACCAATATAAAAATATGATTCATTTAAAAAGATTTAGTTCTATATTTTATATGTGGCCACCCTAGCTATAAAGTGTAGGTATTTCTTTAAACATGATTTATATTACCAGTAATTGTAGTGAACTTTATATCAATAAGAAGTCTTTGAATGATTTTAAGGACTTCAGCTGTTTGCGTAGCGCTGATATAAGATCAGTTGGTTGCACTAATAATGATATATCTAATCCGACTGCATTTAGACGATCTCTAACTTCATTTTCTTTAAACAATAAGTTTAATGGGSGAGAATTGATCTCTGTTAATGTCCAAGAAGTAAATGACAATCCATCTAAAGTAGGAGTGCGAGACGATAAACCATGAGCAGCAGCTAAACTATTTGGCAGTATATCTTTAATTTCAGCTGTACCCCCTTCTTGGATGATTCCAAGGTCTTGGCCTTGCTCTTGTCGACGTACTACAAATACTCGTCCACAAGGAACTCGTCTAATAATTAATTCAACCTGAAATTACATAATATATAAGTAAACCTAATTGTTTATATTATCAATCAAATCAATTACTACCAGCAAATTATTAACACACAGTAGAAACTCAAAAATCTAGACAGAATGTTAAGCTATTAATACAGCAATGCCATTTTGTGGTCAGCTAAATCTTAGAAGTTGCCTGAGATAACAAGATAGTGCATTGTARAGTGTAAATGGTACATCACATGGGTATKCAACATGTATATTGAAATATTTAATTGTATTAATGGTCTATTTTTTAGCACATATGCTTATTGTAAACATCATTACAGATTATGTATAATCCAATAAATGTAAAATAAATAAAAAATATTATTGGTGGGCTGCACAAAGCAAATATTTTAATAACAACAAAAAATGTGAGGCATCACTGTATTAATTGTGATCTAACACCATCTTTTTGAACATATATTATTTGATATTGTAATAATAACATGTTAMTGTCATACTGACGACCAGAGCTGCCACCGTCTTTACATTTAATGAAATAATTAGGAAATGGATTTTATTATAATATAATATACAGGATGATCCATTTAAAGTAAGACACTTGTTTTTTCAAAAAGTTTTAACTATTATGCTTTATTTTTTTTTTTTTATAAATATTGAAATTTAATGAAATCTACATATAATTAAAATTCCGAAGATGTTCAAATTCGATATTATTATATAATACATATGAATCAATTTTGGATTTTTAAATAGTAAAACCTACATTTAATACCAAAAAATTATAAAACTATTTATTTTTTTAAGAACTTCTGAGTTTGAATTTTTTATTTCAATTGAATAGGTTTTGAGATATAGCCAATTCAAAATATGATATAGGAGAAGCTTTTTGTGTTTGTTTACACCAGTTCTTATTAATTTTTGGTCAGTCATACAAATCACTAATTTTTGAATCTGAGTATTCAGGACRGCTTATAAACACTTATTAGTTTATTACATTACACACAATTATAGTTTAAACTTTGGTTATGCTTAACCCACTGATTTTACCGGCCGAATTCCGSAGTTTAACATTATTATTATTATTAGATAATAAAAACATGGATATAATATAAAGTCTTGTCTTATCTTGTTATTTATTATTAGTATGAAAATAAATATTTATTATAGATACCTACTATGATTATTTATTTACTTGGACAAAATATGTTAACTCCTGGTTTTAACAAACTAAAAATATAATAGCACCTATAAAAAACACCTAAATTACCAATGGGCTATATCTTACCAATGGATTATTCAAAAATTAAAATTCATAAAAAATAGTTTTATAAATTTTATACATAGGATGCCATTTAAAAATCAAAAGTTGATTAGTGGTTTCACATACAAAAAATAAGGGTTAAAATAATAGGGGGTATCAAAAATGTTGGACTATTATAACATTTTGATACTTAAAAAGAAAAAATATGAAAAATGTTGATAATTTTTGAAATTTTGAGTGTCTAACATTAAACGGATTACCCTACATATATACCGTGTTTTCTTAAAAAATGAAGTAAAAAATCTAAAACTTTTAAATACTTAAAAAAAGGTATAAGTTCTGGATATCTAATCAAGATTACTAGTAAATTCAAGGCAACATATTTTGCACTGCAGTGGGCGATTTATACGGCTAATACCTACAATATTGTATACTATACAAACACTATAGATGAACTATTTACTATTGCTAGTCTATARGGGCATGCCRACAAATAAGTATGTAGATGGAATTTTGAAAACATAGAATATTTGATCATTGTCAAAAATTACAAATTACAATCAGACAAAGAAAATTATGTTAATTATTGACAATAATCAAAAACTTCTAAACTATGTATTTCTTTGCAAAATATGTAAAATTAATTTAGACCTACTTTAATGAGTGCTATATAAATTATACATATTTTTTATCAAATTGAAAATATCTCATCCTTATAAAAATATGTATTTACAATAAAATCCATTTTCTAAATTAATAATAAATAATGTATTTMTTTTTGTAATTTTTATTATTAGAACTGTTTCTGTAGAATAAAATATAATTGTCATTCAAATTCTCTGAAAAAAACCTACATTCCCGAAATTCTGAACAAACTTAGTCACTGTTTGTCCAGTCTAGACTATCGAGATTCTATTGTACTTATATAACAACAATGATACTGACATAAAGACTTGGCCATGCTCGTATTAATTTATGGGCATCTGATGAACATGATACAGGTTTTCCAGCGACACTCAACAATTGATCGCCTAAATGTAATGCATTGTGCAACATTGGATGTTCTTTCTGTTTCCATCCAGCAATCCAAACAGTTTGAAAGACATCAACCAAAGCAATAGTATTAATACAATCTTTACGTCTCAATTGTAATCGGACACCAGCAAGATGAGACATTTCTTTTCGTAATTGTAGGACTTGCTTTTCACGAACAGTTAACCGACTAGGACTGAATAAATCTCTGTTTTCAGTCTATATTGATCAGATAAAACGTTTGAATTATCATATAATAATACACATTTTTGGATCCACAAACAACTTACAGGAGTAAATGGTGTTGGAACTGGCTGTAACATATTGTGTGTATTACTATTTACTGCTACGCGGATTCTATCAGCTCCTAATGCAGGATGTGAACTATCACCATTCATTTTTCGTCGAGCACCACGGCCTCGGCCAATAGGAAGCTAAAAAAAAACATAATATAATATTTCTAAATTAAATAATAATATTTAGATTAAACTTCAAATTTTAAACTTTACTTGAGATCTTGTGGGTAATATTGCAATATCTGCAGGTACTGGATTGGACAAAGCTGGTGGTGGTCTAGACTGCATAGCAGTAGGTAATACTAAATGCTCATAATTACTAGTTACTTCTTGATCAGTAATAGGAGGTATAACATCTTGTCTCTTAGGTCTTCTTCTATGCCGACCATCTTCTGGTTCAGCAATTCGGACTTTAATTCGTTGAATTTCATTTGGGACTTCACTGCTAGATCTATGTGGCATATCATTAACATATGTTGTTCTATCACTTAATTCTGAATGACTACTAGACCTAGCACCACTAACAGATTCTTCTAAATTTGACACGTTCCGGACTTGGTGGTGTCTAGTAGACTGCCTTGGAGAAGCAGCAACATTTTCAGATGTAGAACTTGAAGACCTACTAGGCCTAGGAGAATTTATTAATGGTTCAGATGAYGTTTGAGATGGTTGCTCATTTGTTTGGTTTAGAACTTGTTCCATTTGATTAAAATTGAATACTTGATTATGATTTATTACTTCTACAATGGTAACATTATTAACTGGTTCACTAGGACTTCTACAACAAATAAATGTATGATTCATCATTAAACAAATAAAAAAAACAATAAGGTATTATTTCGTTTTACAATATTTAACATCTACTCACATTGGATTAGGGCTAATAGGCGGAGTTAAGAAAGTTTGTTCAATTTCTGAAGAAAGGCCATCATCTGTACCTGAAAACCAAATAACAATATTAATTAAAATAACAGTGTTTATTAAACATTTTAGTGCTAGSCACACCACCTATTGATTGAACTACTGAGACGACAGGTTCAACACCTGGTAAAACATTGGTTGACAAGTCTCGTAATGGTGGAGGAGGCAATGGAGAGTTAGGATCTCTAGTTGGTAATAGAGGGGGTCTTGACTCTGGTGGTTTGGTATAGACATTTTCTTTTGGTGACAATATATGCATTTCACGCAATTTCACGTCCAAGCCTTGTACCCAATCCATCATCTGATTCCTATAAAGGTATCATGTATTATCATGCAAATAGTGAATAACAAACACTAAATACTAACCATGAAGGAGCAGCTAAACGAACTACATCTGAGGTGAGGGTTATCACAAATTCATACTGGTACTGTTGCTGATGATCACCTGCCATCACTGGTAATGGACATATAGTAGCAGAAACATGGACGGTATCCGTTAGTGGTATGGTATTGTCTGGACGATGTGCAGCAGCTTTTTTTTGGTCTACATAAAATTCCAACACTGGTTCTGTGTCGTCGTGTATACAAAACACAGTCCATAGTTTTTGTCCACCAGTCAGTTTCAGAGCAGACTTCTTGTCAATGCCATCCGGTAATTTTCTCAACCATGAATTTTTGTGGATTTCCCTGAACTGTACTCCACTCATTGTTAATTCAATAACAACAGTGAAGAGGTATTTATTGCATGCAGAAACTAATATGAAAAACATTGAAAATAAAAATTATATGTTGATTGAGTGCTCAGAAAAGAGTGGAGATTAACCATCAAAATTAAAGGCACAATGGCAAAAGGCCACTGGTCAACAAGTATACAATGGTCMTTTTTAGRTTTCGGATTTAAAGACAATACAATCAATAACAAAAGCATTTAAGTTGTGAAAAAAGGCAAAAATGGGTGCTTTATCATTATTGATAAATAAAACCCATTCAAAATAATTTTAAACATAAGATCGACAATTCAAAATTTTCACAAGCTTTTACCAATTTGTATTAATTGTATGTATGCTATGTAATTTAGAGATGGGCATAACCGAATAATTGGGATAATCGACTAATAGTTATATTTTACTCTATAAAACCGATTAATAGTTGGTTACTATTTTCATGACCAACTAACAACAAACGGCTAAATGACTATCGAATATTGATAAGCAACTAACAACTAATAACTCTCGAAACCAACTAATAACTAATGCCTATCGAAAAACGACTACTACATGACTAACGAACAAATTAGTCAAATTATGATGTCATGAGTTTGTGACCAAAAAATTAGTTCTTAAGTTTCATTAAGATAATATTTTATAAATAATKAAATATGATATTTTACAAGAACAAAATAATATTCCAAGTATTTTTTATATATATAAAGATATAAAGGGTATAAAGATAAACACTATAAACTATAAATAGATAACTACTATACATTATAAAACTATGAACATATTTATATTTTATTATAAGTATTTTGTATTATCATTCGATATCGGCGTATTATTTGTTAGTTAGATTTTGTTCGTTATTCGTTAGTTGGTTTAATTATTCGTTAGTTGGATTATTATTCGTTAGTTGGTTTAATTATTCATTAGTTGGTTTAGTTATTTACCTTTAATAACCGACTTATTTACTTATTATTTACTACCRACTAAGYGACTAAGTCGTTAGTCGTTAATCGGTTGTGCCCATCTCTACTATGTATAAAATTATCCAATCAATTGTAAATTAAACACAAAAAAAGCATAAATAAGTAAAAAAAAAGGGGGGGAATAAATWACATCGATTGTATTAGATATAAAATGAATTTTTACCCTAATCATCACGTAGAAAATATGAAGAAAAAAAATTTCAATAACAGGTAATACTGAAAAATAATGGCTGTTTCATTTTAATGTTATAAGTTATTATTTTCTACTTAACCATGAATTGATGTAACTTTAATAATCCAAATTTATACCGGGTGATTCTTTTATCATTGAACACTCATTATTTCAAAAATTATTAATGTTTTTGAAAATATTATTTTACATAGTTTCAAGTTGTTAAAAATCCAACGTTTTAATTTAAAAAATTATATTTTTAAATTTTTTTTTATCCTTATATTTTTTAAGTTTTTTACTTTTTTGAATGACAACATAGAGTTTTAATTTCATATTCCAAAGCAGAATATTTCTCTAAGTATTTTGATTCATAAAAATCGAATTTAGGACGAGTAGTTTATGAGTTATAAGTATTTAAAGTTTTGACAAGCGGAGTAGTGGATAAACATTTTTCAGGGTAACCCCRTACCATTCCACTCTGCCAATCAAAAACTTTAAATACTTATAACTCATAAACTACTCGTCCTAAAATCAATACTTTTTTAAATAATGAGTGTTCAATGATAAAAGAAYCACCCGGTAGTTTTTAACATACTAGTCATTCTATTACAGTAAATACCTCGTATCTATGGATAAAATGATGGAATTAACAAGTGTGAGTAACTTAGTATTTTTTTCAATTGTACAAGAAATAGGCCGAAACATGAATTTTGTTGAAAACTTGAAAAGATCAATACATTTGTGGAAGAAGAAATATAAAGAAGCAATTTAAAAAAAATTTCACTGTTTAACTAAATGTAATTAAGTATAATGTCATAATAATATCTAGTGTACCTATATAATATATTATCCTTATGTATGAACGCATACTATTATTTATACATAATTATTTAACTGTTTTATTTTTTAATAAATTAGTTATATGAATAGGTATTTTACTAATACAAAAAAAATKTATATGATGCTTATATGGATTATAAATATTCATAAAATATTAGAACTTCCCATAGTTTAATTTGGCTAAAGACCAAGCAATTCCTAATTACACCATTGACYAACTAATTAATAACAGTTGAGTAATAACGAGCATTGTGTAAAGGTGAAACATATGTTTCTTCGAGTGAATAGGAAAGTACTTACAGTCATAACGTTGATTTCACCAATATATTTGCGATCAGCTTTAACGGAACATAATGTTTTAGATGAAGACTAACACAGCATTCGCCAATCRACTTAAAACGTCGCGACATCCGATGCGTGATACTTTTGAATCCGTAAAAACCAATAAAACCATTTGAATTTTAAAAATTATATCGATTTCCCGAATAAGAATTGCGAATAAGAAAACGTCTTAACAGTTAACACTTAACACTTTATTGGATAATCAACTTGTTTTATTGTTTAGCTTATCGTTTGATTAACAAATTTATACCCGATAAACTTATCTAAATGGCCACACTGATAATAAATGTTTGATAAGAATTTTGAAGAAAATGAAAAGAAAATAATTATTCAATTTATCAATTTATTTAATTTAATGTGGTTCAGCAATTCAGCTGTTAGCTAAATCAAGTATCAACACATTGTTAGAAGCTGATATTTATTGTTTAGTTTTAAAAGTAAAGTAGTAGATTATTCTGATAGTATAAATCACAGTCTGCAGAATAAACATGAGTTATCAGTTTATCACTTATCGTTGATTTCTCCATATTGCTTATATTCACCTCGTCTTCTCAACTACTAAGTACTATAAACGAAGACGTGACGTTTAACACGTCTATAAGCCTTCAGTAAGCAATAAGCATAATATTRTTTTATGATAATAAATACCTACTACCTAGGCAACTAGCTTCATGTGACAGACACTACACCGAGTGTAATATTTTACTATTTAGCCATGAGCCAAGCTATTAAAGCCAAGCAAGCGGATCGTTTGAAGAAACTCAGAGACCTCCACATCAAAAGAGTAAATATTAATATTTTTAATCAATTATTAGTGATAGGTCAAACCTAGATTTTTAAAATTGAAACGAACTTAAAATTTTTTTACTCAAACACAAACCAAACCTTTATGATTTTTACTGAACTGAACCGAACTATAATCAATTTAAGTCAAACTCCAACTCGAACTCAACATATTTACTATTCATTTTCAAATTATAAATATAAAATAGTATCATTAATTAATAATTATACAGGTAATAATTATTTCTGAATAATCACTATCATTTTTATATTTTAAAAATAACTTGAATTTTACAAATATTTGGTATTTGAATTATCTTGGCTATTAAGTACGAAATCTAGTTCAACAGATATTTTCGAACAGTAAAATATGCTTGATAGTTCGGTTCAATATTCCAGTATTTTAATCTAATAAAATTTGAGCTTCATTGGCCCATACTAGATCTACTGAGAGTTGAAACCTTAAATATTTCAACTTCTCATTCAGATTTTCTAGTGAATAATCCCTCAGTCGGAACAATGCATTCTTCAAATCATTGGTGCCAAATACCTATTTGGAATCACAGTATTGTATGAATCAGTGGCGGTTCGAAGGGAGTTTATTTGAATCATGTGATTCACACTAATATTAATGGGTGGGTAGGTGGGTCTTATGGTTGGAAAAGGTAGACTGGACCATTTTTGCAGGTTGGTAATTTAAAAATTAAAATATAAATAATACAGGGTGATTCTTTTATCAAACAACACTCATTATTTAAAAAAGTATTGACTTTTTTCAAAATATTTTTTTACATGGTTTCAAGTTGTTAAAAACCCAATGCTTTTATTAAAAAATKATATTTTTTATTATTTTTTATCCTTATCATTTTTAAGTTTTTACTTTTTTGAATGGCAACATAGTTTTTTAATTTCATACCTATTCCAAAGCAGAATATTTTTCTAAAAATTTTGATACATAAAAATCGAATTTAGGACGAGTAGTTTATGAGATAAGTATTTTAAGTTTAGACAAGCGGAGTACTGGTCAAATATTTAGCGGGGTAATCCCGTACCACTCCACTCTACCAATCTAAACTTTAAATACCTATAACTCATAAACTACTAGCGCTAAATTCGAAATTTTAACGTAATAATTAATAAAAAAAAATAGTTTTATTAATTTATGAAATTTTAAGTATAGGTTACCATTTGAAAATCATAAGTTGATAGTGGTTTATCTAATAAATATTAGGGTGAAAAATATAAAAAATAAACAATTCAAGAAGAGTGAAAATCTACAATTTAAGAAAAAAAAAATTTGAAAAAAGTCAATACTTTTTTAAATAATGAGTGTTGTTTGATAAGAGAATTACCCTGTATAAAGCGGTAATGTGTACTCAGCAGATAATGTACCTACAGTAATAAGTAATAACTATATTTTAGGGTGGGTGGTGTAAAAATATTAAACGTGATTCGAGGGGAAAAAAGTTCAAGCCGCCACTGGTATGAATACCTGATRCAATTACTCCATCTTAAATTTAATTAAGGGTGGGTAAATAAAATAAAAGGTTTATGTAATACATAATATATCTAGTAAAATAATTTATTCATCTTATTCCCTTATGRTCATTAAAGTTAATATTTGGCCTTAAACCTTATTAACTATATAATCATATATAACTAATGGTATACCTAACTATTACCTTTTAAATTATTTAACAATTAATTTATCATGTAAAAATTTAATTGGCGTATAATATTATATAAAATAAAATAAAATTGACGACTAAGGTCCTTTACAAAAATACTTAGGAACAATATTGATTAAGTATAGTATTTATTATGACCTGCTCAACACCTCCACTACTGTCACAAAGCTTTGTTTTTTTTTTTCGTATAATAAATTATAATAAAAAGATTTAAAACAATGTAAATGTAATCTAGCCATTGAATATGTGTTAATGTGTCTAAGTCAGCGGTCCTCACTACGCGGCCCTTTAACAAATTTAATGCGGCCTGCACAAAAATTAAATTATACATTCTAAAATCTAAAATCCCAATTCCAAGACATTCATGAAATTTTCCTAAAATACACTTTCCTAACAAAATATTCTGTTTCATTTTATTGTTATTATTTCATTTTTTTACTATTCTTCTCTAAATTCAGTGAACTGCAGTCGTACATTTTTATATTGATAATTGTTATCATTAAAAATGTCAAATGAAGTACTATTATATTGAATAGTTTTTTTTCAAACAAGCCAACTAAGCTTTCTCATGTATACCTCCAGCTATTTTACTCATTGTAAAAATATTTTAAAAAGATTGTACAAATTAAAATAAGTATGATAACAAATAAATAAATAAATGTAAGCGGCTCGCAAGTAATTTTCAAAAATTATATTTGGCGCTTTCTAAAATTCTAGTGAGGACTGCTGGTCTAAGTAGTTAAAAACAAAATCATAATATTTATGCAGCTACACAATACAGTTTATTTAATTTTTTTTTATTGTATACATTTTACTAGCGTAGGTTATCTTATGGCTTATATTCCAGCTTATTCATTTAATATTATAAAACAGTTAATTATAGAAGATATTTATTCTTTTTATATGTTATTCAGAATGAAGCTAGAGTGAACAACCATCAAGAAGTTGTTGAAGAAGACAAACAAATGAAGTTGCCATCAAACTGGGAAGCAAGACAGAGAAAAGCAGAATGGCTTTTAAATGACGATAAACTTAGACAAGAGGCTAAAGAAAAGGTATGGAAATATTTATTGAATAGTTTAATAATTGCTTAGTTAGAAGAATACATCAATAATACTTTGTTTTATAATTTATAATAATTTTCAACAATTCTGAAATAAATTGTTATAGTTTAATATTTCTACTTGTATTATTTGAAAAGTAATAATGAATTTAAATTTTAYGTGTGATCATTGGGCTAGRTTCTCATGCATGTAGAAGTTGTTTGCTTTATACAGTAGTTCACTTACCTATAAAGTATATCTTTGAAGTTCTTTTGTATGAATGTGACTTGGTTTTTGCATTGAAGATGTTGGTAAACCCAAAATTTGTTTAAAGTATTTARTCTTTATTTGAAATCTTAAAGATTGAATTTTTGCAATGTACGCCTTGTAACAGTAGCAGYCACATTTAAAAATATAGCATGACGCAACTAGCCATAATCTCTCTTCGTGTTTTAAATAAAACCAYGTTATATTTTAATTCTAATACCTCTAAAATCTAATATCTCTAGTTGTCTTTAGTACTAAGTTACTCATTTACATGTAAACCAAACATCAAAAATAAAATTTTTAGATAAGTGAATCATTGTTTAAGTTATTGTATGTGTAAGGAAAGCTGTTATATTTTGTCTGGCCCAATGATGTCAATGGATTATTGAATGGCTATTCCAATTACTCTAATACAATATCTTTAAATGGCATTTTTTATCTTAGCTAGAATTTTGACCAAATCATTTTTAATGGTTCTATCTGCAATAATTTTATATTGAATAATAATTTGAAGAARCATATTTTGTTGGGTGCTGCTCCTTTATTATGTTTAAACGTTATTTAAATCATAACATTTAAATGTTATTAATGATTTAAGGGACAAGATTACAACCGTTTAAAACTTTTAAATATGACCGCAATGGAAGCAGATGCTATTGACAGAAAGAAAAAACGCCAAAATCCTGATCCTGGGTTTTCAGATTATGAGGAAGCTACTGCTCGTCAATACAACAGAATGATATCTAACATGAAAGTAGACATGAATGCCTATCAAAGACAAAGAGATAAACTGGGCAAAGCATTCTATGCCGAAGCCAACACTTATTTGCATGATAAAATTAAAGATTCAAAAGAAGGAATTGACAATATGGTAGATGATTTGGAAAAACAGTATGTTATAATTTTAAACTAATATTGTTGTAATCATAATTTTTAGTGAAAATATTCATTTTACTTTTTTCATTTTTAGAATCGCAAAACGCAACAAGTTCAGTAGGAGAAGAACACATAATGATGAAGCTGATAT